CACGCTCCTTCTAGAACCCAGTTTAAAGCACTATTAGACATTTATTTATGCGAATCCTCGCGCTAGCAAGCATACTGCCCCGCGCTGAGAGCCGTGCTACACCCTTTTTTCACGTGACTTTCAGGTGAACGACAGCCACTGACCGACAAGAACAAAACTAACCAGGGAAACTTGTGCAAAAGCCTCGATCCTGTGTATCGATCCGTGAATCCTGAGTAGACAACCTGGTCGGCTTAATCAGGGATCAATGTAATGTTACCGCCACTGTGTCTGGAAACACATGCGAGTAATATGGGGGAAGGTTCGCCGAATCATCCGAAGAACGGTGAAAGCCTCTTGGCTCGAATTTTCATGGTGCAGTGAGGACATATTTGAAGAGGGCCAGATACTTAAACCCGTGTAATGTTCTCTGGTCCATTTCAACCATACGCGACAAAGGCGTTTACTGAGTCGCCTCTGAATGAAAACGGACGCTATTTAGGGCAAGCTAATAGTCCAACTACCACTGTTTTGCAGCGTCTATACCCGTTTGGAGAGCAGTGTTATTTGAAACCCAGGATTTCAAGTCGTCCTTGAATGACAAACATGTGGGATTCGGTCAAATATTCTTGATGAGTCGAAAAATATGGCAACCGATATCAGAAAGACAGTTTAAGAGCCGAATCCAAATAAGCAAGGCTTTTCATCACCAATACATATAAATAGGGAGGAACCGCAGACCGAACAGCGGGTGAATTCGGAACTGACGACAAAATGGGAACCCACCAGGTACTCTATTTAAAGTGCTTCCAGTTCATAACTAACAGTGATGAACATGACTGATACTCTATTCGTTGCTCCATTCATTATTCTCTTGTTTTAATATTCCATATGCTGTACATATTCGCCAGTTCGAATACATACGTGCTGGTTGTTACGCTTCGCTGAATTCTGGATTTCTAGTTTGTCGGGTTGTACCAATATACGTCCGAAACTTAATTCTCACATTTTGGCGTCGCGATTGGAACGATTCACCACGCCTGCCGAAATGGAACCATTAGATGTTAATTCATTTGCGCGTGACGTAGAGGATTATTTGGAATGGTTCGACATATGGCGCTCCACAAAATCCGATATAGATGATAAGAAACTCACTGCATATTTCCCACATTTCGTTGGCAAGGAGGCGTATATTTTTTATCAAGAATCTAGTATATCCTGAATCTCCAATCGATATTTCTTACACTGCATTGAATAAAAAAGTTCTTCAACACCTCAAACCGATTAACTTCGTAGCAGTCGAAAGAGCTCTGTTCAATATGTTGACCCGCTCTCATTCTCAGTCGGTTCGAGATTTCGTGTTACAACTGCAAACACAGGCGGCCAAATGTGACTACGGTGCCCAATTAGAAGACCAGCTGCGTGATAGACTCATTGCTGGCATTCAGTTGCCCGAATTACAGCAGAAGCTGCTACCCCGTCCGGGTCAGAAATTTCAAACTATTCGGAAAATATGTGAGCAGTATGAAGGTGTGAAGCATGTGACGAAGACTGAGAAAGCAGCCTTGTTAAATTATTCTAAAAGAAATAATCCAAGGATGCGGACGAACAACAAATTCAAACCTCGAACAGATTCTCGTGCCCCAAATCCATCAACACGTCACTTCATAGATCGTAATCCCAATCCGATGGCCCAAAAATTTGGGAAGTGCGAGTCTTGTGGACGAAACCATTCCAGATATTCATGCCTTCACAGACGAGCGAACTGTTTTATCTGCGGTAAAACAAGACACATTCAACTTGTCTGTAAGTCCAAGAAAGTGTGTCACCGTACTTCTGACCCAAATACTGACGTGAAGGCATTATCTGAATGGTTT